AGTTTTTATTCATTTTAGCAATACAGATTTTAGAGGCTGTTTTAACCCACAAAACGAGCTCATTTTTATTGGTTTTGCGTAAACTGAAGTAAAACATTATTATGAATACTTTTTGTGTTTTGAAATTTTCCAAAAAAAATTCATCTTACAGCAATTTCTTTTCATTTTCAGTTCTAGATTTTTTCAATCGAATTTCGTTTAAGATTTTCTATTAAGTTTTTCTCTCAACTTGTTCAGTTTATACTAAATTTGTCTGTGCTATCTTTTAGGAAATTTGATTTTGTACAACTTTTGTTCTTTGAGTTTTGGTCAATTCAAATTATTTAAGCATGAAACGGTGCATTTTTATACTTCTTCAAGAAGTTACTTATGATTAAATTATATTAACTTTATTTTTATTGCAGAATGATGGGTCTTACTAACTTTTTATATAGGGCTAACCTACTATATTTTTATTTCTATTTTGTTTATTTTATACTCAATTTATATTTCGTTGTGTACGGGCAAGAAACTAAATGCCATCGTATCTTGAGAAACTACCCATTCGTCTCGGTGCGGATGGAACTATTTGTCTTGTCCCTTAATAAGAATTAAATGTATTTTTGTTTGTGTCTGGTGGACACGTGGGTGTCAAGCATTTGTACTCATACCAGTATACCTGTATACTGATTAGTTTTGTCTCTTGGCAACTCGGATGCGTTCTATTTGAGCGCAGTCGAACTTCCTTTGTAGGATTAGTTGGGACTACGGTGGTGATGAGAAATAAATATAGTTGTTGGACATGTCGTTTGGACTTCTTTTGTTTTCTTGAGTTTAGGGTTGATATTAGTTTATGTATTTATTTTTTTTTTTATGACCTTAGTATTTTGATAATTTGGTGTGGTTTGTAACTTTAAATTATTTAAGTTATTTTGACTATTTATTGTTACTTTAATGTTGGAGGTATTGGTTAGTTATGAAATTATGGTGGATGGTTTGGTTGGCCTTTTTTTTAATTATTTTTTATTTTTTATTTATCCCTTGTAATCTTTTGAGCATGGAAATTTACTTAAATCTTATGGAAACGAGAACGTTTAGATTTTGTTTCACCCCTTAAATTTTGATGATGAAATATTAATTGGAATTTAGTCCTAATTTAATATTTAATTGTCCAAATTTTGAGGCGTAAGAGATAGACAAAGATAAAGAAAGAGAAAGAGAGTCTAAGAGTGGTGTAAGTGGTGGCGCTATTAGTGGTTGGTAAGTAAGGGTGTATGTGTTAATGGCTAGAGGCGATGTTGGTGATGGCAGTGGAGGTTATCGACGGGAATGGGGGCCGACGCCTGGTGTTGATGGGGGATAGTTGGTGGAATTAGGATTAGGGTTAGGGTTAGGATCTGAAAATTTAGATTTAGAAAGTTAGAGATGAGGACACAAATGAAATTTTATATTTAGATAAAATTGAAATTAAAATAAATAAATAAAAGATGGGAGGTCCTAAAAAAAAAGATAGGAGTAAATAGAACTACCCACCACCATCATCATCATCATCATCACTATTATTATTATTATTATTATTATTATTTAACGTTACACAAAAGGAGATGGACAAACATTGACCACATGACCATAAATTCAAAGTAAAATGATTCATATCACTTAAACTAATACATATTATAATATTACTTTATTATTATTTTCTGCGCGACCCGCTAGTTATAATTATCATTATACCAAACTATGGACCACTACGAGCGCTTAGCTATCACTCTATCGGCACGGATTAATTTCATGGTCCTTATCATAGGTACCTTTCAAATTCGGTTTATTCTTTTTCTTTCGTTTGGTAGGATTTTAGTGAATTAGTATGTCAAAGATTTTTATTTTTTTTACATTAATTAAAAAGTTAGTTTATTGCCAATAAAATAAACAAAAAAAAAATTAAAAGTTAGTTTATTGCCAATAAAATAAACAAAAAAAAATTTAATACTAGAAAAAATAGTTTGTTTAACATATTTTTAATTTTATTGACTTTTCTAATAACTTTTTATAATGACTAAAGCAATTTTTTTTCTTCTTTTTCTTTTTTTGGCAAGCAATAGACATATCCAAATGACTTATAATTTTGCAGCAGAATAATTTTTTTAGCTAATAAATTGAATTTTAAACGATTGTCAAAATAAGTTTAAATGAAGACCAGGATCCTCTATTCCCGTTATATACCAATAACTATATTTTTTTTTTTATAAACTTAAACTCCAATCTCCATACTCCAAATCAACATAATGGAATCTTCAATATTTTTATATAAACTCAAACTTGAAACTCCAAATCAACAAACTTGGACCTTCAATGATTCTTTATAAACTCAAACTCCAAATCTCTTCTTAAAAATTTAGACAAATAAAATTACACCTAGCACATGTTTGGATGATCATGGATTTAAATAAGAATTGAGAAATAAAAAGAAAAAAGTTAAGAATAATGTAAATGAAATATAAATTAAAATTTTCTCTTTTTTTTTTTTTTTTTTTTTTAAATTGTCGAAATAAATAATCCAAATACAACCTTAGAGAGTGGGTCTATAAAAAAAACGTGAAATACATTAAATTTGTGAACAATGTGCTCTACTTCAATAAAAAATACAAAAATGTGAGTAATCACTAACCAGTCCACATTATAGTCCCCACCTCTCCCATGGCAAAAAACGAGTTGAAAGTTGTTTTTTATTTTTTTAACCCACTCAAACAAGAAGAGGGATTAGACTAAAAAAATATATAACTTTCAAAAGAAATTAATATTTTATTTCGATCATAATTTTGACAGAAAATTTGAAAGAAAATAGAAAAGATGAGAAAAATTGAGGGAAAAAAAAACTTATATTCATTTATATTTTCATTATCTTTTTTTTCCTCTTATTTTTAAATTTATATTCAAATTTATAATCCAAATACAACTTTAAAAAAAAATTAAAAAAAAATTCATACTTCATTTACTATTTATTTTTAATTCATAAGTATCTCTACAAATTTAAAATTCAAAAACAAGAAAAATATATTTTCATACTACTAGTTTATATATAGTTAGTTATAACCATAATAAAATTGATATTTGTCCTTTGATAGAAATCTATCGGAACATCTCACATGGAATCAACATTTTAGAAAGAAAAAAAATTGAAGATACTCTAATTGCCGCTCAAAAATTTAACTTATTTTATGTGAGATAGTAGGTGTATAGGATAAAAAATAATGTGATTGTTTTGGAGTAAATTCTCCAGGTAACCTTGATATTTATTCGTGAAATTTGTAGAATTTAATATTTTTATTAGAATTTTAGTACTAATTTGATAAGTATTCAGTGATAAATGGTGTGATGTAATATTTCTAGACCACAAAATAATCATTCGTTCCGCATAAGGTGCTATGTATTTAATTTTTACTCTTCTCTAAAGGAGTGTTTGGAAATTGACTTTCTTAGCGAATTTTTTGGGAAATTCTACTATACACACCCTTAAGAGGCGTACCATATGTACCTTTAATTACGATTAATTTTTTTCTTTAGTTATGACATTATTTTATTTATAATTCTTGATATTTTTGGTTATACCTTATGTGGTGTTTGATTATAATTTTTATTTTTTTAGTTATGACTCAAAAAGTATAGAATTATGCTATTTTTTTTTTTTAGTTATAAGGTGCATATGGTATATACTCTTTGAGAAGTATATCATAGTTTTTCACAATTTTTAATTTTTTTACGAAAGAGTGCGCAAAAATAGAGAATAAGGCCACTTTGAAAATAGACTATTTTAGTATTTTTATTTATTTATTTTTGGCTAAAGTATGAGGAAAAAAAATTGTTAATATATTTGGGGTAACTTTTGACTTTTTACGAACAAAAATGTACAAAAAATAGAGAATATTTTTTTAAAAATTTTAATGTTGAGGTTTCTGTTAATACAAATCCTCCCTCACATTTGAAAAATTATATTTATCCCCTGTCAGATTAAAATGACATATTTACTCCTTAACCTTTATACATATAAAATAATAAAATAATTGTGATATTTTGTTCATGTCATTTCAAGGGAAATAACAATCATCTTCTTTAGTTTAATTCACACAAAAAATCAAATTTTTTTTTTTTATTTTTACTGAATTGTTTTTAATATTTTAAGCAAATTTTTAATTTTTTTTTTTTAGATACACATAATTTAGATATACTTAAGAAGTATAATATTTTATGATTTTTTTTTAAATTCATCAAATACAAAATATATTCATATATATATATATAAATTCAGTAATACTGTAATAAATGTGAATAAAAGTGTTTGGTAATACTATAATAAATGTGGGTGAATAGACGAGAAAGAAAAATGATGTTGGAAATAAAAATGAAAAATTCTATTCATATATAAAAATTTATACAAAAAAAATCATAAAAATGTTGTGATGGTGATGTTGTTGTAAATATAAAGCATACTTATGGTGTGTTTTGTTTTAAAGTGAAATGTCACCATTAAGCTATATCATTGTATTTGAAAATTTTATATAAAATTTATTTTTATATATTATCACTCAATAAGAATATGTTTAGGCATAATCTAATGATAGAAAGTTGTAAAATATTGTCATGATGATATAAAAAAAGAAATGGTAAGAAAAAGAACAAAATGGTCATTTAAAAAATTTTATGACATGACATCAATAATTCAAGAGGTAATTTGTAATGAAAAACAAACCTTCAGAAGTAAAATGTAAATCTTTTAAACATAAGAGAGAATTTATATTAAACAGAAATCTAAAAGATTATTAGTATAATTTACCCAAATTATTTTTGTACTACAATATATTAACTTTTTAAATATTTTTTTGACTTTTAAACTAAAATGAAGAGTCGCCAAACAAGCCTGGTAGCAATTTTTTTTTTTGGGGCTAAAAACCCATCTTTCCAAACAAAGCGTCACCCCCGTGGCGTGAATCGAGAATCTCCACCTATAAATACATGTCGTCTGGGCTGGGACTTAGTTGTGTCTCATTGTTCCCCCTCTCTCTCTCTCCTCCATACAATCCTGCATTATTGGAGAGAGCGAGCGGACGCAAAGAGATTCAAACATATACATATATATAGAGCGAGCAGAGGCGAAGAATGGCGATTCAGAGATTCCCAATCAGAAGGGCATTTCCGGCAAGAGATTTACTCCGTTGGCGTCGTAGCTTCTCTCAGGTATCCCAGAAACAGTCCGAAAATGACGCTCCAGTTCCCAAAATGCCGTCCTTCGACTACTCTCCTCCGCCCTACTCCGGCCCCTCCGCCGCCGACATCTTGCTCAAACGGAAACAGTTCCTCAGCCCTTCCATGTTCTTCTTCTACAACAAACCCGTGAGTCCCTCTTCACCCAATCAAATCCCTCTCGTTGCTTTTCTCTTCATCTTTTATCAAGAAGATCGTCAAAATCAAGATTGTTTTTTCATAATCTACTCTGCTTTTTTTTCGTTTTTTTTTTTTTTTTTTGCGCGCGCGCTTAATTTCATTGTTTTAATGCAATTTTCAATAATGATTTTTCGGATTAATTATAATTTTAGTCTCTTGATTTGTGTCATTTGATCTCGAAGGTTTAAATTTATTTCTACAAAAAGAAAATGTTTCAATTAATTATAACCTATTGTCATCTTTAAACACCATTAAAGTAGTAGTAAATATAGAATTTAAAATTTATATTTTTAATTTCAAAAATATGAAATTGCATATTAAGTAAATTATTTCTAATTTTAACAGCATATATTAACTTCACGGAGTTAAGTTAAATAATTAGATCAAAACACTTTTTATGAATTGAAACTAAATTAATAATAGTAAAATATTAAAATTAAAATGACATAAATTATTACTACATATTTTACGGACTAAAAATATAATTAAACTCATAATTTTTCTTACCACTCGTTTTTACCATACATGACAAATTGACAGCTTTAAATAATTGGTCATTGATTACTCCATTTAGTATTTGCAGTTGTCATAAGATTCCTAAATTTGTCTTTTAATCAAAGAACCGTTGTTTATTTATTTTTATTTTTTATTTTTTTAAGTTACCACATGAATCAAGTAATTTTTTTAGAAAATGAATGAGAGTTCTAATTAGAATTACTACCAGTAATGTGCCACAGTATATATATATATATATATATTTTTACTTTTCCACCTCATTAGTAATGGGTTTACAACCACCAAATTAGTGATCACTAGCATGATTGAATTTTTTATGTTTTTTTACATGGTGGGTGGGACCAACTGATTTTTCCACCGTTTGATCGCAGCTCAACATGGTGGATGGGAAGATGCAGTACTTGTTCGATGAGAGCGGCCGTAGATATCTGGACGCGTTCGGGGGGATTGCTACTGTGTGTTGTGGACACTGCCACCCCCATGTGGTCAAGGCAATTGTCAACCAAACCAACCGCTTACAGCACTCCACCATTTTGTACCTCAATCCCGCCATCACTGATTTTGCCGAAGCACTGGCCTCCAAGTTGCCCGGTGATCTAAAGGTACATCTTCGAAATTTCTAACAATTGGACGGTTCAGAGTAAATTAGATGCGAGTTTGATTGAAGGGGACTTGTTTGGGTGGTTTTTGTAGGTGGTGTTTTTTACGAATAGTGGAACCGAGGCGAATGAGCTAGCGATGATGATTGCACGATTGTATACAGGATGCCACGACATCGTATCACTGAGGAATGCGTACCATGGGAATGCAGCCGGGACCATGGGGGCCACCGCACAGTCCAACTGGAAATTTAATGTTATACAGGTAAGTATTTTTAGGGAAATGATTTTTTTTTTTTAAACTAATAAATTAATTTTTAAGTCACGTTCAAAACGAACGAAGTCTAAGTAATGCTAGGGCTATCATATTTGAGCATATTTGGTTAAAATAATATCACTGTGATGTTTCTTTTTTATTTATTTTTTCGTGTAAACAACACTAATAATAATATTTTTGTGGTTTTATACTACTTGAGCTGTCATATTAGATAGTATCGAAGATGGTAAACATCGCCCTTACTAGTATAATGACATTTTCAAAACTTTGATGGTGATCGTCACTAGCCACCCCTCCTAGGTCCATCCCTGATTATGGGGGGACAGACTAATAATCATCTTGTATTAAACTTGTCGAAGTAAAGCTATGTGGTAGGTAGAAGAAGCTGTCCAAGCAAACACCCACTATAAGAAAAATCATGGGGGCCAAAAAGTTTGGCAGAGTCTATACCAGAGTTTTAAAGTGAGTAAAACCTTGGACAAGTCAGAGAAAGGAGGGATTAGCAAAGTCTAACTTTGCTTTGGAGCAACAAAAGCTCAAGTAAATCCTGATTGGTGTTGAGCAAATCATGCAACAAAGTTATAATCAAAATAATAACCATAATAATAATGAAACATACTTGCGTCCAGTGGCGGAGTCAGAAATTCAATTTAAAATGGCACACATTAATCACAATAATAGTTTTTTTTCTCTTCCCCCATAACAAGTAACAATGAGATATTATTAATCTTATACATTTTATTTTTATTTTTATTACAATTATCCTTATATTTACATTAAGATGACTTATAAATTCATAATCAATAACTAAATTTCATTAACCAAATAATCAATAAGTTCAATCCTATCAACTCATAAAAGAGTTCTCCACAATGAAGAGAAATAAGCAACTAAACAAATTCATAATAAAAAATGAATTATCAATTGATTTAATTCTTACCTTGACCTATCAATTAAAAGTGTACAATAATAATCAAAATAATAAATAAGAAAAATTTTAAAATTTTAAAAAAGCAAAAAGTTTTACATAATTTAAGGAGGATCACTATTATAATTTTATAAAGGATACATAATACATAATCTTTATCTATATGGGTAACAATATAAATTTTGAAAGTTTAGGGGGGGCACATGACCCCCAGGCCTTAGGTAGCTCCGCCCCTGCTTGCGTCCACCTACTAATTTCTCATCGTATGGTTGCACTACTTAAGCTTTTTTTTGTTTTTGTTTTTGGCTACTAAAAACATAATATATGCACATTTTAAAAAGAAGAACCAAACAAAGTGATTGTCTATTGGTGAGACTCCACAGTTCAAGAACTAGTTCATGAGTTTAGGCCAAACGCATTGTGTAAACACAAATTGTGATTAGGATATTTAAACATATTGTGGCCATTAATCGCATTTAAATATTGTCGGGGGAGGAGATTCACCCAGTTGGTGTATGTAAATTTTTAGAAGATAACTCAGGCATTTAAAGGGTAAGGAAAAAATGAGAAAAAAAAAGTAAGAAAAGAGTTGAAGATGAAAAGACATCAATAAGTATGCTAATTCTAATAGTTGATGTTAGTGAGTTTGTTATTCCTTTTCGTGTTGCTTGATGTGTTATTTACTTGTTTTTTTACCATTTGAAAGCTTTTATGTTGATGTTTACAGTAACTATGCTAAAAATTTTGGACATATTGAGGAATATGCATTCGTAAGGTATACATCACCTAATTATTCAAGTTAATCTAGTTTTCTAATAATGGCATTCGTTTTGGTTTCGCCAACAGAGCGGAGTTCATCATGCCGTCAACCCCGACCCTTACAGAGGTGTCTTTGGTTCAGATGGGGAAAAGTATGCAAAAGATGTTGAAGATCTCATTGCTTTTGGAACTTCAGGGCACGTTGCTGGTTTCATTTCCGAAGCCATACAGGGAGTGGGTGGAATTATTGAATTAGCCCCAGGTTACTTGCCTGCTGTGTACAGCAGTATCAAGAAAGCAGGAGGTCTTTGTATTGCTGACGAGGTTCAGTCTGGATTTGCTCGCACGGGCAGCCATTTTTGGGGATTTGAGTGCCATGGCGTTGTGCCTGACATCGTGACAATGGCAAAGGTAAAACTTTTGTTTCTCTCTCCTTTTTGTAATTTTTAGAGATTTCAAGAAATCCTTGTTCACAAACTCTCAAGACTAAGTATACCCCATTAATTGACACTTTGCAATTTTCTCTTAGAAGCTCATATGACCTTCACCTTTCATAGAATTAAGACTAAATTCATTGATTCTAACAAAAAGCGAGAGCTCATAAAGCCGAAGAACAATAAGGCTGTATTACAATTTTACAAAAATATGGCTTTTTATAATTATTTGGCAATAATGGCATCAAATGCCCCTTTTCTTTTATTTTATTTCTTGTTCTTTTTTCAATTTTTTTATTTCTCATGGTCTTATTATTTTCTGTTAAAACATCAGCAACCAGCTCATCTGTCCACTTCTGACTTGGGCTCTTTTCAGTTAAAATGATACCTGGGGACAAGTTATATCTGTCATCCAACCAACTAGGCCTAGCCTAGTTTGGCTACCAAGACTTTCCTAAAGGCTTAGTCCTAAGGAGAGGCCATGGGTTCAACTCTCCTTCGGGGAGTTGAATTAAAGAGACAATTACTTGGTGCTTTGCAAAGGGTGGGGAGGTTAACTCCCATAGGTGCTAATCTAACAACTGACAACTGACTTTCGCCGATAAAATAAAAAAATAAAAAGTTATTTTTGTCATCCCATTATCTTGTTTAGGCCCCACAACTGATGGGCATGTTTGATTTGAGAGAAAGATAGAAGCACTTGCGTTCGCGTCTCTTGATAAAAGTTTGGCTGCATTATCTGTAGCTGCTTGGCAATGGATGGACAATTGTAGAATATAGACATTGAAGTCACTAGGTTCCAGTGTCCAAAAAGACAATCAACCTAGCTGCTGCCTGTTTTCCCGGGCTCTTGACGTGCTTTTTAGACACTTTTTTTTTCTTTACCAAAAAGAAAAATATACAACAAAGTTCAATACATGCCCAAAAAGGCAAAGAAAAAAATAGCAAAAGCCAATAAGCTCCAAGAGGCAACTACAAACCTAGATCTCAATGAAAACAAATAGGTCAAACAAAATATGGAAACCCTCACAACCCGAGAGGCCAAGTAACATTGCCTCTTCCCCCTTTTCCTCCAGCCAACTTCGAGATATGAATTTTCTTTTTTAATTTCTTCTTGCTTTCACCCCTTGAAGTTCAGGGATTTTCAACTTCGTCATCACCTTCAATCATGGTAATTCAAGAATCAAGCAAACTAAACAAGTTGGTGCTCACATTTGGCACATCATTTTTAGGGCCATTGCTCATGTTAGCATTGCAAGCATTCTCCATGAAAGGAGTTTCAACAGTGGGCTTATCAACTTTTCCCTTGCATTTGTCGTCCTTTTTGGATGAGACCTTTGCCCAATCTTCTTTGGGAGCTTTGTTCACTACCCTTTTGGTTTTAGACTCTTGCTCTCTCATAGACAACTTTTGCTACTAAAGAATGTCAATTTCAGAAGGACTATTATTTTTTCTTTATGCAAGTTTCTGGGAGCAAGATGACTTGGAATATTTACAGATTAATCTTGAACTTTTAAAAATGATATTGATTTTGTAAAATCCAGCTTCAAATTTTGACCTTTTTGTCTTGACTTGTTTTGCTAATATGATATATGCAGGGGATTGGAAATGGCATTCCACTTGGTGCTGTGGTAACGACACCTGAGATCGCGGAGGTCTTGACTCGTCGCAGTTATTTCAACACCTTTGGAGGAAACCCCGTATGCACTGCTGCTGGACATGCTGTTCTCAGAGTAATCGAGAGAGAAAATCTTCAAGAGAATGCACATATTGTTGGGTCCTATCTCAAAGAACGCCTCACCACTCTCAAGGACAAGCATGAAAGTAAATTTTTGTGGACCCCTCTGAGTTGTGATTTTCAATGCTATAGAAATGTCCAAAACATTTTTTACGAAATTAAAATATGTATCACGAATCTTGACAAAGTTCAATACTTCCTACTCGATGCATTTCCTGTTTAGCTTTTGCTATTTGATTGCTGATGCTATTATATTGGTATTTGTAGTTATTGGAGATGTGAGGGGAAGAGGAATGATGCTTGGAGTTGAACTTGTGACTGATCGTGAGCTGAAAACTCCTGCAAAAGTTGAAACTCTGCATGTGATGGACCAGATGAAAGGTATACATCTAATGTGTGGCTCTTATTCGCGCATATGTAGCTTAAAACCGATCTCTAATTTTTTACAAACTAGCAAAATTGCCCATGCATAAAGCCACTTATTATTTGAGAAACAACACTAACCGTTACATTTATTCAATCTTAGCTCTTAATTATGTTACCTAGGACATTTTTTTTTTAATATAATCGTTGAGATTTATTCAATCTTAACACACAATGATGCCACATATAAGACGTTTTCTAAAAACCGAAATGTTTTATTATTATAGATATGGGAGTGTTGATCGGCAAAGGTGGATTTAACGGAAATGTTTTCAGAATCACACCTCCCCTCTGCTTCACTAAGGAAGATGCAGGTTGGTTCTTACGCTTTTGACTTGTCATATTGACTATCGTGATGGCATGCGATCGTTTCCTAACATATGTCGTGATTTTTTCCCCTTGGTTGCAGATTTCCTTGTAGATGTTATGGATTACACAATGTCAAAGATGTGAAGGCGCCATGAACGGTAGGGCATTTTGTAACTCTCTTGGATATGTTAATTTCACCACAGATTTGGGTGTATAAATATGCATAAAATGTTTCATGGTTCATCAAGCTTTGTTGTATTAATCTTTTTATGTGATGAGTCAACACCTCGTTGTCTCTCTCTCTACTCGCTCTTGGTTTCTCCTTGTCAAGTTGCATATTACTCTAAAAGTTGTGTCGTTACTACAAAGAAAATTATTCATAAATGTCAAGTGTGGAACTCCTAAACATCATAGGTAAAAGTTTTATTAAATGCTCATTTATGCCGGCCAAATTTTTATTTTGCTAAAATTCTACTTTTATAAGCTAACTAGCTGCGTCATTGCCTAAATAAAGCACAGAAATTTAAAAGGACAGACTATTTAATTTAAAAAAAAATTAATTTTTTTTGAAAAAAAAAAAAACTCAGTCATATCTTTCAAGCAATATTTGTAAGCAAGTAATAATTTTAAAAGATTTGCATTGGTAACAAAGATTCCTGTAACTATGAACTAATTTGCTTTAAATAAAATAATAAAAAAATTATGAAAGACTATTTGAATAAATATAATATATTATTCACAAACAAAAAAATTAAATAAATATATATATTGAAACTCGGATTAAATAATTGTAAGTATAAACAAATTTTAAAATATAGTTTTTTATTTGACACAATCTATTTTGGATTTTAAATGGCTATTATTACAATGTATAAAGTAGACCAAGAACTCATTGTGTTATAATATACCTAAAATATTTAATTTAAATTAAGTTATATAAATTTAAATTAAGATTGTGAGCTCAAATTAACCAAAAATTGTGATTCAAATATGGGTTACGTAAATGATATAAATAGTATTTTGAATATCAATAATATGTTATTGTAAAATAAAAATTGTGTATAGGAAATGGAATTTAAGAATTGTTTGTGATAATCATGCAAGAATTTCTTTCAAAATGTTTTTTTGTCTCTGTGTTGGATATAACGGTGCTTGATCCAAAAGTCTAAAAAAAAAAAAAAATTTAACCAAAAATTGAGGTGCAGAAATAGTTTGTTCATAAGCCCAATCTAAAATAAAATGATCACAACACCCATTTATATATACCAATCAAATCTTATCTCTCTCTCCCTCTCCCCCATCTAAACCTAGAATTATGTTTGTTTGGGCGACATATATTTGGGATTAAATTAATAATTGAATAAAATTATTAATTTGATGTTTTGTTAAAAAATTGAAATATGGACTAATAATCTATTTGAATATGATATCCCACATATGATGGAGTATTAAATCAAAATCAAATTAAGGAATTAAATCAAAATCTTGACTAACTTATCAAATGACTATAATAAATGTATTATGGTTAATATATTGGATGTCCCATGTCATATCCATTCCAACCCCCTTAAACAAATATTAGATTTGATAATATTTTATTAATTTCTACTTATAATCCTAACTCAACCCCTTAAACAATTAGATAATAATTTATTAATCGTTCATCATAATTCTAACTCAATTCAAATATAAAATAAAAAAACACAATTTAAAAGGCAATCCTAAAATTATTAGTCATAACAATGTTAATCCGGACTAAGGCCTCGTTTGGCAAGAGGCTATTTTAGTCAATTAGCCAAAAAGTTACTAAATTAGTCAAAAAGCCAACAACTCATACCAAAAAGTCAAAGATTAAAAAAAAAAAAAAATTTAACCAAAAATTGAGGTGCAGAAATAGTTTGTTCATAAGCCCAATCTAAAATAAAATGATCACAACACCCATTTATATATACCAATCAAATCTTATCTCTCTCTCCCTCTCCCCCATCTAAACCTAGAATTATGTTTGTTTGGGCGACATATATTTGGGATTAAATTAATAATTGAATAAAATTATTAATTTGATGTTTTGTTAAAAAATTGAAATATGGACTAATAATCTATTTGAATATGATATCCCACATATGATGGAGTATTAAATCAAAATCAAATTAAGGAATTAAATCAAAATCTTGACTAACTTATCAAATGACTATAATAAATGCATTATGATTAATATATTGGATGTCCCATGTCATATCCATTCCAACCCCCTTAAACAAATATTAGATTTGATAATATTTTGTTAATTTCTATTAATAATCCAAACTCAACCCTTTGGATACTAGAAGGAGTGGGCCAATCCACAATTTCTTTGACCTTCTCCACATCCATAAGCACCCCACGAGAAGACACAACATATCCCAAGAAGATGACTTGGTCTACGGCAAAGGTGCACTTCTTAGGCCCCGTTTGGGGACTTACCTTTTTAGCCAAAAAGCCAAAAAGTTGCCCGTTTAGCCAAAAAGCCAACAACTCATACCAAAAAGTCAAAGATTCTCTTTTCTCTCTACTTTTTGCACATCTTTTCGTAATTAGCCAAAAAGTCATCCCAAACATAAAATTTTTTTTACCTGCCTTTTTAGTCAAATAACCAAAAAATTACTAAATTAACCTGTTCCCAAACGAAGTCTAATTCAATCCGCTCAATCAAACATAGTCAAATGCGTCGTTTCCGCCGCCACCGTCAACGCCTCTCCTCCGCCTCCGTCATCATTGCCTCCTCTTCGCCACCAGCACAGCTAACATCACCGCCCACTGCCGTGTCGCCATCGCCATCGACTCAGCGACGAGAGCGCCTTAGACGCCGTCATAATCCTCCACGCCACAATCTGACGAAGCGCTCGATGGTCGTTCTACAGAGCTCTCATCGCACAGAGTTCATAGCTACACTTCTCTTCCTTCGATTTCAGCATTCTCTTTCTTTGATCTCTTCTCTCTTTCATATGTCTCTTAGGTTTGGAAGAGGCGGCGTCAGCGACCTAATGGGGAAAAAAGCAGTTGGATTTTTTCATTTTTGAATCTTTTATTAACTCTCTATCCCTCTCTCGTTCTGCTTCGATGAAGCTTCGGGGTGTAATGGCGAGTTACTGAGTCGCAGATAAGTAGGCCAAAGCCTCGATGAATCCGCCGAGGTCAGATCCGCCGCCACAGAGCTTGTCTATAAACACATTCAAGAAACCACCGTAGGTGTTGATCGTGTTGGGCTCCGTTGGAGACTCCTCATCGGCCTCCTCCTCCTCCACCTTTGCCTCCATCTCCATCTCCATCGAAACCTTGGAGTTCTGCTTCCACATCTTCAAATCTTTCAACAATGGTAAATTTGACATTGGTGGTTGAAGTTCCTTAGCCCCCTCAAAGGGCAGCGTTACCATTTAGGGCTCCATTCCCATTCTCTCTCTCTCTCTCTCTCTGTTTTGCTTGCTGCACAATACAATACAAGAGAGCTGTGTTTGGACGACAAGTCTTATTCACAGAAAATGAAATCAACTCCCAAATGCTCTCTCTCTCTCTCTCTCTCTCGATCTGCAAACAGATCTGTTTCCTCTTTTTTTTTTTTTTTTTTAAGTTGATGATGATAATGTTGAAACAAATTGAAAACAGATTAAATTTTGTTTGACAAATTGCAACAGATAATTTTTTTTTTAAGTTTGTCTACTTTGATCCAATTTCTCCCTTTGTATTGTGTTCATCATAGTTCTTGTTTCGGCAGAGAAATCCGAAGACTAGAGTAAACACAACCATTAGAGAGAGTAGTCTAGTTTAATTGCTTGAAAAATTTGTACAGATAAAATTTGGATAGAAAATTTGTTGTTGTAATTGTTGATGATGAAGCTGATTATTTTTTGATCAGCAAAAAAAAAAAGTTTTATTGATGACAGCACATACTTTATATATGCAAATACATTAATAAAAGAGGGGAAGAACACAAAGCATCATAGCAAACTAGGGCACCTTGACCCCAAGGGTTGGTGAGAAACCAAGCTCAACAAGAAAAACCTCTCAATGAACCAAAACCCCAACCTACCATCTTTTGGAATCAACCAATAACCAATGAAACTCCACCTAGCAACCATTACCAACAGCAACCAAAGCATCAACAACAAACAAAGTTGAAACAGCCCACAACCATCCCACCCGCAGCAGCAAAACCAACCGAGCAGAGCAAAAACAACCCCAGTAAAACAGAACACACAAGCAGTAGAAGCAGCAAGACAACATCAACAGTTCAGTAGAATATAGCAGCAAATAATGATTGCAACAAATATAAAAAAAAAAAATTTACGGTGCAATATATAATAAAAAAAAGATCCATTCAAAATTTGAACAGATAGGTGCTTGGCAGTGGCTTAGTGTATTTCAGTAAGATTTGAACAAATAAAAAAATAACAAATAGAATTTAGAAAGAAAAAAAATTGAATAGATAAATAGAATTTAGGAAAAAAATTGAACATATAGATATAATTTAGAATAAAAAATTGAATAGATAGATATAAATTTAAACATATAGTCAACGAAAAGTCAAATAAATAACAAAAAATCAAAAGGTAAAAAACCTCTCAATGAACCAAAACCCCAACCTACCATCTTTTGGAATCAACCAATAACCAAACACCTCTTTGACCTATGAAACTCCACCTAGCAACCATTACCAACAGCAACCAAAGCATCAACAACAAACAAAGTTGAAACAGCCCACAACCATCCCACCCGCAGCAGCAAAACCAACGGAGCAGAGCAAAAACAACCCCAGTAAAACAGAACACACAAGCAGTAGAAGCAGCAAGACAACATCAACAGTTCAGTAGAATATAGCAGCAAATAATGATTGCAACAAATATAAAAAAAAAAAATTTACGGTGCAATATATAATAAAAAAAAGATCTATTCAAAATTTGAACAGATAGGGGCTTGGCAGTGGCTTAGTGTATTTCAATAACAAGATTTGAACGAATAAAAAAATAACAAATAGAATTTAGAAAAAAAAAATTGAATAGATAAATAGAATTTAGGAAAAAAATTGAACATATAGATATAATTTAGAATAAAAAATTGAATAGATAGATAAAAAATTTGAATAGATAGATATAAATTTAAACATATAGTCAACGAAAAGTCAAATAAATAACAAAAAATCAAAGGGTAAAATTGGAAACAAAATGTTTTCCAAGACTTTTCATCAAGCTACTTCACAAAGGTTGGACCTTTCATCAACAAAAAAGTATCTTTAAAATCTAATGCCTTATATCGTTCTTAAATTGGATTT